AAAAAAAAAAAAAAAAAGAAAGCACTCTCCCATCAGCTGCATGTGGTGGCTCACATCTGTAATCCCAGCACTTTGGGAGGCCAAGGTGGGCGGATCACAAGGTCAGGAGTTTGAGAGCAGCCTGACCAACATGGTGAAACCCTGTCTCCACTAAAAATACGAAAATTAGCTGGGTGTGGTGGCGCGTGCCTGTAATCCCAGCTACTCAGGAGGCCCAGGCAGGAGAATCGCTTGAACCTGGGAGGTGGAGGTTGCAGTGAGTCGAGATCGCACCACTGCACTCCAGCCTGGGCAACAGAGCGAGTCTCCGTTTCAAAAAAAAAAGAAAGTATTCTCCCAACCACCTCAAGTGAGAGTGACACAACTTTTTTTTCTTTTTTTTTTTTTATCCTCTGAAAATACACAGCTTTTGATAAATTACTGACTGAAGCTGAAAAGACTACGGTGCTGCTGACGATGGGCTGAATCGTCCGTAAAAAACAAAACGCTGCCAAATGTGTCCACCAGATGGCACTCTTTGCTAAGATTATAGAGTCGTAGCTTTCAGGTGAAGGCGTTTCAGAACTTCAGATTGCATCAGAAAGTCTGAGATGAGTAGATTCGCTGCGTAAATCTAGGATGTTGTCATATGAAAACCAAGTAAAAACCGACAGAGGTGGCGTAATAGCTGTGTGACTTGAAAACGCTCATGGCTGTTGTCACCCTTCCTGCTTAAGGGCTCCAGCACTTGCCAGGAGCCTGGCTCTGGGGGCACCAACCATGATTTGCACCAACTGCACAGGGCCCCTCTGTGCCTGTGGGGCCCCCTGCGCCTCCCTTATTAATTCTCACTCACCCTGGGCTCTCAGCTCCAGACACCACCTCAGAAAAGTCTATCTGGACCTGCCAGGTCCCTGTCGCTGGCTCACTTGGCCCCCTGTCGTGTCCTTGGCTTATCATGGTTGTAATTCTATGCTTTGGGGTACGACTGTTGGTTGTCCCTCTTGTTGCTCAGAGAAGAATGGCAGAATGATTAAAAGTACCATATAAGTTCAGAGTCAAAAGGACAGCTCCCAGGCCACTTGCTGGCCAGACAAGAGAGGTAACCCTACTTACTAAGCCTCAGCTTCCTTATCTCCAAAATGGTTCTAATTGGCACCTACCCTATTGCATAAGATGCTGCCTAGGGGAGGACTTAGTGAGTGCTCAGTGAGTCTGCCCAGCCATGGTGGTACTGTCTCCTTACCTCTGCAGGCACAGCGGCAAGAACAAGGCGGATGGAGGGCTCTCTGCACCTTCCCCAGCCAGCAATGTGGACGGCAGATTAGAAGTTAGCGTCTGTGCGACCTCCGCGCTCCCTGCCTGTGGCTGCCTGGACTGCTGAGCTTTCGCTTGGTTTTATCACTGCAGAGGAATGCCCGCCATACTGGGGGGCAAGCAAGGTCCAGAATGACAAGCCCTGGCATTCCTCAGCCGCCCCCTCCCCGGGGTGGGGCCTGGACATTCCTGGCTGCAGTTAGACATCCCAGCATGACGGGGACTCCGACCCCCCTCCACCATGGCTATTGTTCGGAATTCTGTGGATTCCAGAGGCATCTGCCCAGCAGACTGTCTTGCTGTGAACAACCAGCTCTGCAACCGGAGTTTGTGTGTTTGCCCTGGGAGGGTGAACGTTCACCCAGAACAAGGCCTCCCCACATGCCTGTAGGCTGCTACCGCTGTGAGCTTCCAAGGAGCCGTTAGGACACATGCCAAGGAACCCCGGGTTGGGGGGGATCCCGGGAAGCTTCCTCCCTGACCCACACCCTCTGAACAGGTCTTTGGCTGCTCACCAGTCTGGTCAATCTCGGGGCAGTATTTATATTCCTTCCCATTTCCAGGCCTAGAGCCTTGGCACCCCGCTCTCCCTCCTCTAACTGAAATTACCTCTGAATCCTTTTTACCTGAGATGCCTCTCACATTCCCCAGGAATAACAAGTTTTAAAGCCCCTTCACACTGAAGTCTGCCTTTGAATTCCTCAGCTAGATTTGGGGGTGGGATCTTATGGCTCCCGGGGAACCCCCCATACTGTTGATTAAATTGAGCTCAGGCAGACTGCTGGCTTCCCAAAGCCTGTGTTATTACTGCTTCTCAAAGCTGCGGGGCACCGGATCGCCGTCTTTGGCAAGACTCCTTTGTGATACAATGGGAATCACTGGGTGGCCTCAGTTCGGTTCTTCCCTCCTCTCAGTTCGCGGCTCACCAGCCACCCTGATGCAGCCCCCAGGCTGGAAGGAGGCTGCAGGAGCTTCCCCGCGGGTCATCCTCTCATGCCTCCCCCGTGCCCCAGGAGCTGGTTGTGGGGGCTGCTCTATCCCCTC